CCCCCCGCGTAGTGGACGGAAAACATTTGATGCGTTTTGAGAGTGAAAGCCCCGTTTTCAAAGTCCTCCGCCGTTGTGTGAACGCATCCTAATTGCCATGTATTTATAAGATGCAAAGGACATCTTACATAGACTATTCCAAATGCACACACTTTTATAAGGAATATCCAAGTTTATATGCATGCGTCAACGTACGTTGTAGTTTTTAATTATTGCACAGCATTGTAATTTAAAGCTATCATGACCACACATACCCCTGTTCAAGGTTAATGTTCCCTTGAAGTGCCACACCTTTCGCCCAGTTAGCCATCTTTCTCTTTATGCCGGTGACTGACTGTCCAATCTCTTTCAGTTTTTCCATAATCTTCTCATACACTCTGTTATCAAGAATCAAACAAGCAACAAGTTTTCCATCATTCTGTTGTGAATGCAGTGTAGGCCATCACAGCTCATTCAAAAGTAGTGAATACTACATGAAAATTATAATGCTTTTACTTTCAACAAAACGTCACCTCGATCCCCCTCTTTTGTACCCTGATAATCCAAATTGAACCAGCACCTTAGGGTCTAGCTCATGCAAAGTCAAAACATACAAACAGCCGACACTACAGGCTTTTAGTCAGGATTTGAAAAAATACATTCAATATCTGCAGTTACATGTAGCCAATCACAAACGCAGTTTCTTCATTGTCAAGTCACTGCCCTGATATGGCCAGATTTATGGTCTTGCTCACTATGAGTACTTTGGCCCAACTTTATCTCACCAAAATACAAAAAATTGGATCAACCAAACTCACCTGATTACCACTGATACATAACAATAAGGTATGATTAGGTACTGATAATCAATATGAATTATAATAAACTAATATGGAATTTAAGTAAGCACACCAAATCAAAAGATTATTAGGAATTTCATGATCTCCAGAGACATTTATTGTTCATTGCCACGTATCAGTGGCATGCATTATGCATACAAAGAGCAGGGCTAAAACATATTATTTGTTCATGTTACCTTGGGACTCCAAAAAACAGAGTTGGCCTAACATCTCTCAAGGTCTGAACAAGTGTTCCCTAAAAATTGACAAATAATGATTTAAAAGAACAAAATTTTGGCATGTCTTTGTCATTAAGAATCATTCACCTACTTACATGTACCACAGTAGTAGAATATGACTACAATTTTTATTCATTTATTTATTTATTTATTTTACTTGGTTTTTAAATACTTAAAAATACTTACTAGGCAGTTTAACAGTACTGACATGCACACATTCAACTGCATAAAACATATATCAAAAATATTTATTTTATTTTTATTTATTTGCCTCTAGAGAGCTTGTCTAAAAAGAAATCTTGCACGAGGTAAAAGAAAACTGTTGATAAGATTTAACATAACCTACACTGTATTTTTCTTACAAAGTACAAAAAATTCTTAATAGAGAAAAATGTCTTGATTAGATACATGTAGCTATATAAATTTGCATGCTCAACTTCAAGGATACACTGGTACATGCATATTCTAATAACTCATGATGTGTGGGCATATAACTTTTATCAGTAATTACCTTCAGGGCATCTGCTTGAGCAAACCAAACAGAACCAACAAGATAAATGGGCATAAAGATGTCTAATTCCTACAACAGAATGGGGAACGAATGATTGTTAAATTAATGGCAGGGGTTTATAAATAATTAAACACAAACCAACCACGTCTCACCAGTACTGGACATGCACTTAATCAACTTTAATCAAAATAGGGCAATTTTATTTGAGTTGGCAAAATTCAAAGGGCATACCCACTGGATGAGTTCTCATACGTTGTCTGACTCATAAAAAATAAAGCAAAGGTTGAATCAAAGGGATACACTGTAACCCCGTCTCATTGCACCCAGAATGTCTTGTTCTACAAACATCCTATATACCTTCCCCACAAAATGTCTCTTTGATTGGGACCTCTTTCCTAATTCATCTGGAAATACCATGGTAGCGTCACACTTTCCTATAAAATATCAGGTCTTCCCTCCTTTGATCCTTTCAGAATGGCCAATTTAACTTTCAGTGGGGGTATACACTGCGTATATTTGCTGGAAGCACACAAATCAGAATTAATTTATTTACCTGTGCTGCAATGTGGCTGAGAGGAAGATAACTGATACATTGTTCCACCACCTTCTCTCCAGCATTCACATGCCGCGATGCAGTCTCTGCTGTCCACAATAGCTAATAACAATAGGTTAAAGGGAATTAATAATAGAATATGATTGAAAACTATTAGCAAAAACTTCTGGGAAGATGTAAAAGTGCAAAATGTCTTTCATTGGAAGTTCCAGGGACTCAAACAAGGGATTTCAGAGGGTTAAAGTGAAAAATGGATATCCAAAAGTGGGTTTATGATTTTGGAATTTGCTGTGTCTCACGGAATAATCTGGCTCTTACTACATCACAAACGTAAACACTCAAGCATGGCAGTTCAAAACAATGATGCGCACATACCGATACCAAAATTTGGGGCCTAGTTTGTGCGGCATAGCACAATTTCACCTCAGCCTCCACCAATTTGCTCAAATGCCCAGGAGCAGGGGAATCTGGAACAAGTACTTAAATTGACCTGACACAGCAAGACATAGGAAATCCTTGTGCTCATGTGGTGTCTTAAGTTTTCACATGGCATAAAAAAAATGCAGGCACAAGTGCAAGTACAAGAAAAAGAATGATTAATTAATTTCATGCTTGCACAAGGCTGCTAAATTAACTCAATGCAGTGACTAAAGCAGTGACTCCTCTGTACTTACATTATCATGTGAAAGCATGACACCTTTTGGATTTCCAGTGGTTCCAGACTAGGAGATAATGAAAATGTTTTATTAGTTTAATTAACACTTATAAATACCAGTAACACATAGTTAACGTCAATTTGACAACAAGAGAGAAAGCGAGTAACTGATTTGACTAACAGGATAAAACAGTGAACATCATCAGATGACTCTACAGAGTTGCCTGGGGGGTTATTAATGTTAACATGGTTTCACCTTTTAATTACTTGACTGTATATAAAAGTGCTCAATTTTTTTTTGTGAATGACATCTTGTTAACTCTATTTGATGTTGGACAAATTTACTAATTAGTGGCTGCCATAACATATCTGGTGATATGAACACAGGAACATATATTAAGCCATGATAATACAAGGTCAAGGAAGGAACGTACAGTGTAAATAAGTGTACAACACTTATTTGGTGCCAAATCATTTATCCTCTGCTGAAGGACATCATCAGGAACTTCTTTTCCAAATTCCATGAACTGATTCCACTAAAAATCAAGTCAAGAAAATCAATTAACATTGATATATAAACACTCAAAAATGTTCTTTTCACCCGCACACTTGATGCAAGATTTAACTAACAAGAGTTTACATGTATGCTTACAGTGTGTACATAATAAACAATAAATTTGTGTATTTACATAGAGAGAGAGAGAGCATATATCAAAGATTGGAACTAAATTTTGTGATGCGATCATTAGGTGAGTTTCATAATATAGACGCATGTTTGTAGGAGCTACCGTGCATGTACAGTGGAACCCCGTTAATACGGACACCAAAGGGACATGATAAAGTGTCCGCATTATCCGGGTGTCCCTATTAAGGAGGCTAATTTAAGAGAAAATATATGAGCTTTTTAGCTGTTGGGACAAAGAAAACTGTCCATTAGAAGCAGGTGTCCATATTAAGCGGGTGTCCGTAGAGCGGGATTTCACTGTACATGTAAGGAATAGCCAGATCATGAAATGTACTAAGGATATAATCAAGGATTCTAGATCCACCTTCCTCGACAACCTTTCCAAAATCTCTCAAAGGCTGCAGGAGTCTTTGGAAACGTTTGAAAATTAATAAATATTGGAAAATTCAATCAAAAGAATGAAATAAATGATTGAATGACCAATGTTGGCACAATCTGATGATTGAATGATTGAACTAATGAATGGATCAATAAATATTAAATGTACATGTATATTTATTTCAGTGCTTCACTCACAGTGTATACATTAGGTGGTAATCCCTCCTCCAACTCTCCAATGTACTGCACTACTGCTTTGAGATGAGGCAGTCTGTCCCAAATCTTCATAATTAAAAGTATATAATCCTTCTAAGTTCAAAATTGAACATCGCATGATAGAGCTCAACATTTTAACAAATAGTTGCAAAATTTGGAGCACTTGAGGTTGACCGAGCACCTCAACCAAGTTCCTCATAAAAACCTACATGTAACCTCTCACACAAGTCAAGCTGATCTCCTTGAATATAAAATATATCCCAGTGGGATTTTCCACTCTCCCATTAGTCCACCATTTGCTCTCTACTAGCTAGAGTTAGGTAATGAACACTACAACTTAAATGTACAGTAGAGTCTAGCCTGATGACCATCCAGTTGATAGGACCTTTTAGTAATTTTCATATTTTATGAGCCCCTTCAATATGATGACCTATTTAATATGACCATAATTTTGTGTATATTACAAGATCCAATGTATCTACCGATTTTCACTCCATAAATAAGCCACTTGTTGAATCCCTTTTTCTCAATACTCATTTCCACCCTCACTTATTTGATCCATCCATTCTTTAATATTGGCAACCATTAATATATCACCACTTATATATTTGGTAATAGTTATATATTTATTTATCATTAATATGTTGGAATTATTTGGTGGCTAATGTGTGCATGTGCTGAAACTGAATATTTTTAGCAATAACATACTTCTTAAATCAAGTTGCATTGATCAAACTATAAAGTGCAGTACTCACTTTAAGAATTTTATGAAGCTGATGTTTGTTCTCAGCAACAATGATATTGGCTTCACAATTTTCGGCAACATAATGGCAAGCTTCAGGAGAGTTTGTAGTATAGATACCAACGGCTAAACCCCTGAGCAAAAAAGAAAATAAAATAATATTCTTAGTAAATCCTTGATAAAATTTAATTTAATATCATGAACAATTCATGGTATACAAAATAAGCAGTTCACAAACTAATTGTAAATTTGAAACAAAAAAAAAGTGAAGCCTTGGAGTCGACTGGCTAATAGCTGCCAGAGCTTATCTCTGTTTCTGTAGCANAGAAAAGTGTAAATTTTGTGTTTGTCTTCCTTGAAGAAGACAGAAACTAGTTCAGCCAATTTCTTTTTGTTGACTAGCCAAAGTGGTTAGTGGAAATCGAAAACCTACTCGCCAAAACTAAATTTCTACTAGTCTGTGGCTAGTTGGCTACTGTTAGTGTCAAGCCCTGAATCATTTTAGCCAATAACAAAGGACACTAGCAATCCAGTGAACCAATCAAAACTCTAAGCAACTACATCTAGCTGGCATGTATATGAGACACAGAAAAACACATGCAATCAATTCATGATTGCTTTTAGATCTACTTCTGATTTGTAGATGACAATGTGGCACAATTACTTAGGCTGCATAGTAATGTGAAACCAATCACAATCACAATCACAATCACAATCACAATCACAATCACAATCAAGTGAAAACCCACTCTAAAATAATTAACTTACTAATTATAACAAGTTAATGATCAGTTCACATACACAAAACATAACAGATTGCATATCTGTTTCTAATCACAAATTATATACATTAAGAAGAATATCAGTTGTTACTTATTTTACCCAGCAAAAATAGCCCCCAAGTCTGAGATGAGCCACTCTGGAGCATTAAATCCAATGATTCCAACACCATGGTAAGGTTCTAGCCCAAGCTGTGGAAAAAAATTGAATTTTGAAAGGTGAAATTTTGTCACATTCTTGTTTGACTTACAAGATGTTGAAATGTTCTTTGGTTACTTTTAAATACCAGCTGAATTTGGTCTTTTTAATCAATGTTTCTTGTAGTTCCTGTATAATTAATGCTACAATGCAATGTTCCATTACTGACTGACAGTTTGCTCAGTGTACCTACAGTACACCAGTAATGTAACTGTCAGTTCAATACCCTACATTGGGTACTACACCAAGCAACTCTTACAGTTGCTATTTTAAGCAATATGGTTAATACATTTTACACTCTGAGAAGGTACAACAAGCACCTCTGTCATTTTTACAGGAGAGTCGCCACATTCACTACCTCGCTTAATTAGCTTCTCCAGGACAAGTTTTGGGTTTGGATTTTCCAAAGGATAAACACTTTTCAGTAGCATTCAGGAAAAGAGAGGGTCACAAATAGTACCAAGCCTTATACATGTACCTGCTTACACTTCTTCCTTAAGCATGTGCACTTAATTATAACGTGGTGTGACATTTGCAACACAAATCATGTGCACAGTAATAATGCCCAGAAACAAGGGATGCCACCATCCTTAAAGCATGAATCAATTGGTTTGTAACGTTGCCAATGGAAATATTGACACAAGGTTAAAGTTTGCTCACATGCACATTCGAAGTGTGCAGCCCATTGGTTTATGATGCAGTAACTAGCCTTACAAATAGAATTTGATAGTAAGGCTTTCATAGCCATTAGTTATAACAAGTATTCCACCATCACCATGAACTGGAATTCAAATTATTTCAGATTAATTCTGCCCGATATAGCACTGTAAACAGCGCTACCAGTACCAAATAATATTCCAGTTTCCAAAGTTCTATGCTTTGCACTATTTAACAAAGATTACGTAACAATTTGTCAGAGATTAATCTTGGCATATATTTTATCCCATCAAAGTGTTTGCATTTGGTCTAGACTGTATTACGACTTGAGCTACTCTTTTCAATATTTAATAATAAAAGTAGGCCAATCTAATCAGATCTCGATTTCTAATATGTTTTGGCAGGTTTTGTGCGTCAACAACGTGTGAAAACACTCCAAACAGTTTTTAAACGTTACGCAGCCAAATCGTGTGATCAAATGCTGACCGAAAAGGAGATGAACTGGCAAGTCAATGCAAATTGCTACGTGAAAATGCAAAACCGTTGTTCAAGAGAACAAATTCTTCCAAAACGATCTGTCCACGTCGCAACAAAACAAAAGATTTAAATCGATTCTAATGAATGCTTAATTACGGATTCTGCAAGGAACTTTACGCGAACTTCAAAACTGAAGCTTACGGTATGTTTTTAAACATCTCGTAATCATTGAATTTCATAAACCGATTAAGAACCCCAACAATATATGAGCAAGAATTTAAGTTTTATTCAATCAACTCCACGTAAAGAACAATAACTAAAGCTAAGCCTTAAGTACCCAAGGGAATAATTTTAGACATTCCCGAAACGCAATGGCGACTTTCGACGTAAACAACATTTCTTGCACACTATTTAAACTTAGTGTAAGTTTTAAATGACTAAACATTTACAAACCTTGATAAATGACTTTGCCGCGGAACATACAGCCTCGTAGTATTCGGTGTAGGTCCACTTCACCCACTCGTTGTTCCTTTTCACTGCAAGAGCAGTCCTGGTTGGTGCTAGCCTCACAGCTCGTTGAAGACCCTGTACGACAGTCATAGGAGTGCGACTGGTGCTTTCCGTTGAGCCTAATAACAGCTTAACAACGCCATTTGCTTGAACCGTCCACGGCGATTCGGCAGGAGCCGGCTTGACGATTCCTTCGTCGTCACCAAGCGCACTTTTCGCGTCCCCATTTGGATGGTCGTCCTTTCGTTCCTCGATGCCGTTACCGTTTTGCTGTACCAATGTTTTCTCCAGACTGCTACTGATTTCTCCATTAGATGCTATGTCCTCGCCTGTGTAATGCACAGAGCCGTTAATAATGTGAACGTCTTTCGCTTTCGTCTCGCTCTTGATGTCCAAAATGATATCGCTTGGCTGAGCGATTTTGATGCCGTTTTCATCGACAGTCTGGGCACTATTTGACGCAGCCATGAAGTTTATAGAATAAACGGTGAAATGTGGCCTGAACTGTTCTCCTTATGCTCTTTTCAACCGGTCAAAGAAATACAAATCTTACTGTAAAAAAGCCCTCGTGTTCTTCGCTACACGAAGATATTTACTAGCAGCTCGTGTGATTACGTGCACTGTACCTGGGGGAATATGAATTTTGATCAGAAAGTCGGCGGCCGGAAACACGACTTTCGTATGAAAAATGCAAACATTCACCCGTGGATCCTTTACAACAAAGGAAATTTGGCTTCGTTCAAACAAAATAAGAAGTAAGTGATTGCAAAATAAAATATGAAGCGTAGAGGAAGCGAAAAACATACTTGAAACAAGATGCAGGGTTGATGCAGGGGCGTTCAGGAGGTGGGGAGAAACGAACCAATCAGAATCAGTGTAACTATTCAAGCTTCCTTCACTCAACACCTGCCACCTGGAGACGTTTTGCCCACTCGGCGGGAAAGGGGGATTCATGCTGACGTCATTGTTTATATTTTTGCTCATTTACATACGGCTTTGCGCACTGAAGGAAATATGAAACTTACATGTAATATATGGTGAAATGTTTAGCTCTTTGGGTGTAATATTCAAGGAGAAATTGTCTTTCAAAACCTGCAAAATGTCTGGGTGGCAAAAGCGCTAATGAATTCATACATTCTTTGTAAAATTTTGAGTTTTTAAACCCGTGTTGCACAAAAAGTATTCAATACATCAGGCTCATATTCGTTGGCGGAGTTCATCGTACTATTATTACCTTTCAATATTCCGAACCGATTTATTTGTAGCTCCATCTGAAACTAAATTGCTTATCCCAATGAGCCAAATGTTGTAAACAAGGATTCCCCCATATTTCCTACCGGAATTATAATTCCCTCATGTACTAACACTGTACTAACACGCAATATTTTAATATTTTTCCACGCAATTCAGCTGAACTGGCGAAACTGGGCTTCTCTTTCTTTCGTTTGTATTTCTACAGTTCTTAGTGATCAGTCCGAGGCGGGTGACATTTTCATCATGAAAATTGAGCCACTTCAGGAAGCGAATAAGGAGGAGCTTAGTCTACAGATCGATACAGACACCAGATGAGTGGACAGCTGACATCTGAATCGTTTTAATACGTTTCATAACTTCGATTACATGTTAAACCTGAGACTACAATAAAACTAGTAAAATGCAGTTGCAGTTTAGTGTAGGTCATACGCGACCTTGTAAAACTATTGTATTGAAGACATTGAAGGGTGAATTTTAAAACTTGTTATGCATACTTCTTGCAAACGTCAATCACCAAGGAAATTAGGACAGTGATCGAAAAAGCCGGGTTACAGCCAAGTTGGAAAAGAAAAGGTGGTCCACGGACTCCAGTATCCCGTGTTTTCTATAGAACCCGGTTCCCCTTGTTTTCCACTGACCCCGGAGAAACCCGGACCCTAGCTACGACCCGGAACCCCGCCCCCCGTCTTTTTCACCAAACCCTGTGAAAGATATACTAATACGAAATAATCTGTGACCCG